CCCCCCCCCCCCCCAAGCAAACATCCTCTTTCCTCTTGAATTTTCAACCCTAGCACAAATCCTCTCCCTCAAATCCCCCCCCAGTGTAAATCCTCCCAATCCTACCTCCGAGCACAACCCTCTCTAAGTTACCCTTCCTCCCCACCCAAATCTTCCCTCCTAGCACAAATCCCCCCCCCCTCCTAGCACATCTGCTCCTAGTACAATCCCCCCCCCCGCAAATCCCCCCTCCTAGCACACCCCTTTATTCCCCCCCTCCTACCACAAATCCCCCCAATCCTCCCTTCTGGCACAACCCCCTGACCAATGCCATCTCCTGGCAGAAAATCCCGCAATCTCCCCTCCTAACACACATCCCCCCAATCCTATCACCTAACACAACCCCCCCCCAATCCCTTTTCCTAACACAGATACCCCCAAACCCCTCTCCTACCATCACTCCTCTTCCTTTAATCCCTCCACTTAGGACAAACTCCCTCAAATCCCTCCTCTAGCTAAACCCCCTCCGAATTACCCTTCCCAGCATAGGAAGGGACCTCTCAGACAGAAGCTGCTGCCCAATGCTTGATGTAAACCACCAAAGAAATACAACTTTGAGCACAACTGTATATATTATTATTATTATTATTATTATACAGTATTTATATAGCGCCAAAAGGTTTGCTCAGCGCTGTACATTGTAGTGGGGGACAGAACATGAGACAAGACAGTAACAATACAATAAATGAGGGGATTGAGGGCCCTGCTCCTTGGAGCTTACAATCTAGGAGGGAGGGGATAGTGGTACAGGAGGAAGAGGCTGTGGGGGATGGAGTGGTAGGAGGAGATCGGCTGTTAGGTGAGGGTGGGGTAGGCTTCCCTGAAGAGATGGGTTTTCAGGGTGCGCCTAAAGGTGAGGAGGGTAGGCGACAGTCTGATGGATTGGGGTAGTGAGTTCCAGAGGGTGGGGGAAGACCTGGAGAAGTCCTGCAGTCAGCGTGGGAGGAGGAGACCAGGGAGCTGGAGAGTAGGAGGTCCTGTGAGGAGCGAAGGGCACGGGTAGGGTGGTATTTGGGTATCAGGTCTGTGTTAGTAGTTTGAATTGAATGCGTTGGGCAATCGGGAGCCAGTGAAGGGAATATATATATATACTGGATTTCCCTTTTAGTACTCGTGGTCTTGACCATGGTGACCCTGAGCACATCTGGATCATTGATGTGACTTGTTGGTGGAACACTCGGCTATATACACCCTCCCATGCCAGGCGCAGATAGAACACAAGTCCCATTACCTTGTTACGCAGGTCTTTTGACAGTTCTTTTCTACTCCCCGTGGCTCAGTATCTAGCCTGCTCAGTGCATCCACAGGAGAGCAAACTCATTGACTATTTACACACAGAAATTGCAATTTAAAAAGCCACAGATGTGGGAAATGAACCTTTAATTGCCATTGTACCCCGTGTGTGTGTATCCATATAGCACAACTGTATCTATATATATATATATATATACTGGATTTCCCTATTAGTACTTGTGGTCTTGACTTGGGTGACCTTGAGCACATCTGGATCATTCATGTGACGTGTGGTGGTGGGGGGGGGGGGGGGGGCTGTTAGTGCTGACCAGCTCTGGCAAGTGACGAGAGAGGCGGTTGCGCATGTGCAATCTTGATTGAAATAAGCAGGACTGGTAGATCGGAGAACACTCGGCTACATACACCCTCCCATGCCAGGCGCAGACAGAACACAAGTCCCATTACCTTGTTACGCAGGTTTTTTGACAGTTCTTTTCTGCTCCCCATGGCTCAGTATCCAGCCTGCTCAGTGCATCCACAGGAGAGCTAACGAACTCCTTGACTATTTACAAACAGAAATTGCAATTTAAAAAGCCACAGATGTGGGAAATTAACCTTTTCTGCTCCCCATGGCTCAGTATCCAGCCTGCTCAGTGCATCCACAGGAGAACTAACAAACTCATTGACTATTTACACACAGAAATTGCAATTTAAAAAGCCACAAACGTGGGAAATGAACCTTTAACTGCCATTGTACCCTGTGCGTGTCTATATATATATATATATATACTGGATTTCCCTTTTAGTACTTGTGGTCTTGACTTGGGTGACCTTGAGCACATCTGGATCATTCATGTGACGTGTTGGTGGGGGGGGGGGGCTGTTAGTGGAAGTGCTGACCAGCTCTGACAAGTGACGGGAGAGGCGGTTGCGCATGTGCAATCTTGATTGAAATAAGCAGGGCTGGTAGATCGGAGAACACTCGGCTACATACTCCCTCCCATGCCAGGCGCAGACAGAACACAAGTCCCATTACCTTGTTACGCAGGTTTTTTTTTGTTCTTTTCTGCTCCCCATGGCTCAGTATCCAGCCTGCTCAGTGCATCCACAGGAGAGCTAACGAAATCCTTGACTATTTACAAACAGAAATTGCAATTTAAAAAGCCACAGATGTGGGAAATTAACCTTTTCTGCTCCCCATGGCTCAGTATCCAGCCTGCTCAGTGCATCCACAGGAGAACTATCGAACTCATTGACATTTACACACAAATTGCAATTTAAAAAGCCACAAACGTGGGAAATGAAACTTTAACTGCCATTGTACCCTGTGTGTGTCTATATATATATATACTGGATTTCCCTTTTAGTACTTGTGGTCTTGACTTGGGTGACCTTGAGCACATCTGGATCATTCATGTGACGTGTTGGTGGTGGGGGGGGGGGGGGGGTTAGTGGAAGTGATGAGCAGCTTTGACAAGTGACGGGAGAGGCGGTTGCGCATGTGCAATCTTGATTGAAATAAGCAGGGCTGGTAGATCGGAGAACACTCGGCTACATACACCCTCCCATGCCAGGCGCAGACAGAACACAAGTCCCATTACCTTGTTACGCAGGTCTTTTGACAGTTATTTTCTGCTCCCTCATGGCTCGTTATCTAGCCTGCTCAGTGCATCCACAGGAGAGCTAACGAACTCCTTGACTATTTACAAACAGAAATTGCAATTTAAAAAGCCACAGATTTGGAAATTAACCTTTTCTGCTCCCCATGGCTCAGTATCTAGCCTGCTCAGTGCATCCACAGGAGAGCTAACAAACTCATTGACTATTTACACACAGAAATTGCAATTTAAAAAGCCACAAACGTGGGAAATGAACCTTTAACTGCCATTGTACCCTGTGCGTGTCTATATATATATATACTGGATTTCCCTTTTAGTACTTGTGGTCTTGACTTGGGTGACCTTGAGCACATCTGGATCATTGATGTGACGTGTTGGTGGGGGGGGGGGTGTTAGTGGAAGTGATGAGCATCTCTGACAAGTGACGAGAGAGGCGGTTGCACACGTGCAATCTTGGTGAATGTTGAAATAAATAGGGCTGGTAGATTGGAGATCACTCGGCTACATACTCCCTCCCATGCCAGGCACTCAACACTCACAGACAGAACTCACAGCACTCAGTACTCACAGCACTCAGTACTCACAGCACTCAGTACTCACAGCACTCAGCACTCACAGACAGAACTCACAGCACTCAGTACTCACAGCACTCAGTACTCACAGCACTCAGTACTCACAGCACTCAGTACTCACAGACAGAACTCACAGCACAGCACTCACAGACAGAACTCACAGCACTCAGTACTCACAGCACTCAACACTCACAGACAGAACTCACAGCACTCAGTACTCACAGCACTCAGTACTCACAGCACTCAGTACTCACAGCACTCGGCACTCACAGACAGAACTCACAGCACTCAGTACTCACAGCACTCAACACTCACAGACAGAACTCACAGCACTCAGTACTCACAGCACTCAGTACTCACAGCACTCAGCACTCACACAGACAGAACTCACAGCACTCAGCACTCACACAGACAGACAGACACAACCCAGGAGGACTTTTTCTGCAAGACATCCAAGCTTTACACTTCTCTGCAAATACTAGAGAAGATTTGGAACCATCTGGACCGCACGGCACGGGACTGTACAGCACAGCACAGGACGGGACTTGCCGCCACATTTTACTGGATTCTTCTGCGAGATCCTGAGTTAACCCTCCGAGGGCAGCCGCTGGCACGATGGAACCCAAAAAGGTACACGCCGTACTTCTGACTCTCATGACAGAACGTTTTAAAGCCAATTAGGGCCACGGCGTGCTGCCGAACCGCATGGCAGGGCGACCGCAAAGACCGGCGTGGCTCATTTATTCGTTGTTACATTTTAAATGAAGCTGGACGCGTTCACTTTTATTTCGTTTTTTTTTTGTCGTGGGCCAGATCCGGACTATTGCAAGATTTTATCTGGCCCTCTGATGTTAAAAAGGGGGGGGGGGGGGCTCTGATGGGGATTCTGACTTAAGGGGGGATTCTGATAGGGATCCTGATGCAGGGGGGGCTTTGATGGTGATGATGTAAGGGGAGACTCTTGATGGGAATCTTGGTGTAAGGGGTGACTCTGTTGGTGACCTTGGTGTTAGGGGAGACTGACCCTTATGCAAGGTGGACTGTAATGGTGACCCTGATATCTGGGGGACTCTGTTGGGAACCCTGATATAAGGGGGGGGGCTTATGGTAGGGGAGACTCTGATGTAAGGTGGACTGTAATGGACATTCTTCCCACTGACACCAATGTAAAGGGCATTCTTCCCACTGACCCCCAATGTAAGGGACATTCTTCCCACTGATCACCAATGTAAGGGACATTCTTCCCACTGACCCCCAATGTAAGGAACATTCTTCCCACTGACCCCCAATGTAAGGGACATTCTTCCCACTGACCACCAATGTAAGGGGCATTCTTCCCACTGACCCCCAATGTAAGGGACATTCTTCCCACTGATCACCAATGCAAGGAACATTCTTTCCCACTGACCCCCAATGTAAGGGACATTCTTCCCACTGACCCCCAATGTAAGTGACATTCTTCCCACTGATCACCAATGTAAGGGAACATTCTTCCCACTGACCCCCAATGTAAGGGACATTCTTCCCACTGACCACCAATGTAAGGGGCATTCTTTCCCACTGACCCCCAATGTAAGGAGCATTCTTCCCACTGACCACCAATGTAAGGGACATTCTTCCCACTGATCACCAATGTAAGGGACATTCTTCCCACTGACCACCAATGTAAAGGGCATTCTTCCCACTGACCCCCCAATGTAAGGGACATTCTTCCCACTGATCACCAATGTAAGGGACATTCTTCCCACTGACCCCCAATGTAAGGAACATTCTTCCCACTGACCCCCCAATGTAAGGGACATTCTTCCCACTGACCACCAATGTAAGGGACATTCTTCTCACTGACCCTCAATGTAAGGGACATTCTTCTTCTCACTGACCCCCCAATGTAAGGGACATTCTTCCCACTGACCCCCAATGTAAGGGATATTCTTCCCACTGACCACCAATGTAAGGAGCACATTCTTCCCACTGACCATCAATGTAAGGGACATTCTTCCCACTGACCACCAATGTAAGGGACATTCTTCCCACTGACACCAATGTAAGGGACATTCTTCTCACTGGACCCCCAATGTAAGGGACATTCTTCCCACTGATCACCAATGTAAGGGACATTCTTCCCACTGACCACCAATGTAAGGGACATTCTTCCCACTGACCACCAATGTAAGGGGCATTCTTCCCACTGACCACCAATGTAAGGGGCATTCTTCCCACTGACTCCCAATGTAAGGGACATTCTTCCCACTGATTACCCAATGTAAGGGACATTCTTCCCACTGATCACCAATGTAAGGGACATTCTTCCCACTGACCCACCAATGTAAGGGACATTCTTCCCACTGACCACCAATGTAAGGGACATTCTTCCCACTGATTACCAATGTAAGGGACATTCTTCCCACTGATCACCAATGTAAGGGACATTCTTCCCACTGACCACCAATGTAAAGGACATTCTTCCCACTGACCACCAATGTAAGGGGCATTATTCCCACTGACCACCAATGCAAGGGACATTCTTCCCATTGACCACCAATGTAAGGGACATTCTTCCCACTGACCCCCCCAATGTAGGGACATTCTTCCCACTGATCACCAATGCAAGGGACATTCTTCCCATTGACCCACCAATGTAAGGGACATTCTTCCCACTGACCCCCAATGTAAGGGACATTCTTCCCACTGACCACCAATGTAAGGGACATTCTTCCCACTGACCCCCAATGTAAGGGACATTCTTCCCACTGACCCCCAATGTAAGGGACATTCTTCCCACTGACCACCAATGTAAGGGGCATTCATTCTTCCCACTGACCACCAATGTAAGGGACATTCTTCCCACTGACCCCCAATCTAAGGACATTCTTCCCACTGACCCCCAATGTAAGGGGCATTCTTCCCACTGTCCCCAATGTAAGGGACATTCTTCCCACTGACCCCCAATGTAAGGGACATTCTTCCCACTGACCCCCAATATAAGGGACATTCTTCCCATTGATCATCAATGTAAGGAGCATTCTTCGCACTGACCACCAATGTAAGGGACGTTTTTCCCACTGACCCCCCAATGTAAGGGACATTCTTCCCACTGATCACCACTGTAAGGGACATTCTTCCCACGGACCACCAATGTAAGGAACATTCTTCCCACTGTTCCCCAATGTAAGGGACATTCTTCCCACTGTCCCCCAATGTAAGGGACATTCTTCCCACTGATCCCAATGTAAGGACATTCTTCCCACTGATCACCAATGTAAGGGACGTTTTTCCCACTGATCACCAACATAAGGGACATTCTTCCCACTGACCGCCCCCCCAATGTAAGGGACATTCTTCCCACTGACCCCCAATCTAAGGGACATTCTTCCCACTGATCACCAATGTAAGGGACATTCTTCCCACTGACCCCCAATGTAAGGGACATTCTTCCCACTGACCCCAATGTAAGGGACATTCTTCCCACTGATCACCCCCAATGTAAGGGACATTCTTCCCACTGATCACCAATGTAAGGGACATTTTTCCCACTGACCCCCAATGTAAGGGACATTCTCTTCCCACTGATTTTCCCCCGATGAATTGAATGTAAGGGACATTTTTCTTCTCACTGAGGAGGGCTGCTCCACCAACTGTAAGGCAACATTCTGGCAATGACCACCATACCATCCCCCATGCTGTGTACGAGGGTTATACTGTCTACAGTTTCACTTCAAAGTGGTCAGCAACTGAGACATCCCGTGACAGTCACAGGATGAGAGAAGTTATTTATCACAAGGTCCACTCATGTGTGTATCAGGAGCACTAATCAAAGACTTCTGAAGGAATGGAATCCAAGTGACAGGTCCTCTTTGTTGTTTAGGAATGAAAGCCAACACATTTCAGGGGTCCTTCATCAGGGCTCACCTTGTGGAAACACTTGTATTGGTTTTGGGGTTCTGCAATGAATGTCGTGAAAGAACTCACAGAAAATATATTTGAGGACCAATAGGGAGCTTGTATATACAATATGGGCAGCATTAAGCAACTCGGCCAAGTGATTGCATGCAAGGGGTCCTGGGATCAATTCCCACCAATTCCCTCCTGTGTAGGGTTTGGAAGGTGAACTGGCAGCTACCCCCAAAACTGGGTAGCAAGCACCCTATGTGTAGCTAGCAGTGCATTAGATTGTCAGCTCCTTTGCACTGATGTAACATTGTCGGTGTCAGGGCTTCATAAATGAGTAATAGAAGGTAAATACGGGTGACAATGGGGCATGTAGCAAGGTTCTCGTTGGTTCCAGAAACATGCCCATGCTGCTAATGGCAACACTTGGAAGGTTGTGAACAAAACAAATATTTAATTGTAATCCTAATAGACTTTCAGATTCTTCGCCAAAATTCTCAACGCCAGCAAGAGCTGAAATGTACACCTACAGCTCCACCTACTGGTGGGAATGCATTTTATGAATCTGCGTGATTGCTGTTGAAATGATTGGACTGGTGACAGGGTCTCTTTAACAGCTTCTGTTCTGCTCTTCTAATAGTTGAGTCCATCCATGGACATTGCTGTAGATTGCAGGTCAAAGTCTATGCAGATAGACACTATGTTTCCGAAAAGTATTGGGTCGCCAGCCTTTCCACACGCATGACCTTTAATGCCCCCCAGTCTTAGTCCGTAGGGTTCAATATTGAGTTGGGCCCGCCCTTTCCACACGCATGACCTTTAATGTCCCCCCAGTCTTAGTCCGTAGGGTTCAGTATTGAGTTGGCCCCGCCCTTTCCACACACATGACCTTTAATGGCCCCCCAGTCTTAGTCCGTAGGGTTCAATATTGAGTTGGCCCCGCCCTTTCCACACACATGACCTTTAATGTCCCCCCAGTCTTAGTCCGTAGGGTTCAGTATTGAGTTGGCCCCGCCCTTTCCACACACATGACCTTTAATGGCCCCCCAGTCTTAGTCCGTAGGGTTCAGTATGAGTTGGCCCCGCCCTTTCCCCACATGACCTTTAATGGCCCCCCAGTCTCAGTCCGTAGGGTTCAATATTGAGTTGGCCCCGCCCTTTGCAGCTATAACAGCTTCAACTCTTCTGGGAAGGCCGTCCACAAGGTTTAGGAGGGTGTCTATGGGAAGGTTGGACCATTCTTCCAGAAGCACATTTGTCAGGTCAGGCACTGATGTCGGGGGAGGAGGCCTGGCTCGCAGTCTGCGCTCTAATTCATCCCAAAGGTGTTCTATGGGGTTGAGGTCAGGACTCTGTGCAGGACAGTCAAGTTCCTCCACCCCAAACTGGCTCCTCCATGTCTTTATGGACCTTGCTTTGTGCATTGGTGTGCAGTCATGTTGGAACAGGAAGGGGCCATCCCCAAACTCTTCCCACAAAGTTGGGAGCATGAAATTTTCCAAAATGTCACCTTAAGAGTTCCCTTCACTGCAACTAGGGGGCCAAGCCCAACCCCTGAAGAACAACCCCACACCATAATCCCCCCTCCACCAAACTTTTACACTTGGCACAATGCAGTCAGGCAAGTACCGTTTTCCTGGCAACTGCCAAACCCAGACACGTCCATCATATTGCCAGACAGAGAAGTGTGATTGGTCACTCCAGAGAACACGCCTCCCCACTGCTCTAGAGTCCAGTGGCGGCGTGCTTTACACCACGGCATCCAACGCTTTGCATTACACTTGGTGATGGAAGGCTTGGATGCAGCTGCTCGGCCATGGAAACCCATTCCATGAAGCTCTCTACGCTCTGTTGTTGGGCTCATCTGAAGGCCACACCAAGTTTGGAGGTCTTTAGCTATTGATTCTGCAGACAGTTGGTGACTTCTGCGCACTGTGCGCTTCAGCATGCTGACCCCGCCCTGTCATGTGACGTGGCCTACTGCTTGATGGCTGAGTGGCTGTTGTTCCCAGTGGCTTACATTTTGTTATAATCCCACTAACAGTTGAGCGTGGAATATTTAGTAGCCAGGGAAATGTCACGGATGGACTTATTGCCCAGGTGGCCACCTATCACGGGACCACGCTTGGAGTCACTGAGCTCCTGAGAGCGACCCATTCTTTCACCAATGTTTGTAGAAGCAGTCTGCATGCCTCGGGGCTTGATTGTATACACCTGTGTCCATGGAGGGGATTGGAACACCTGAATCACATGATATGGAGGGGATTGGAACACCTGAATCACATGATATGGAGGGGATTGGAACACCTGCATCACATGATTGGGAGGGCGGGGACAATACTTTGGGCAATATAGCGTATATGAAAAGCAGATTTTTTAAAAAAAGTTCCCCTTAGCACGTATTGAAATACCCTCCCCCCCCCCACCCCCTCTACAACAAGGCTGCCCCCTGCAGACTCACCAGATTAGGGATCCAGCACCTTTTGTCTTCCAAGCTGAAGAAAGCCCAACATCATTCAACTTACTACCTGTGAGCCCAGGTTGTCAGAGACACGTCCTTTGGCGGCACCCTGGAGGAAGGCAGTAGAGAGAATAATGAGGTGACGCTGCCCCCTGTGGCTTTTTAGACTCCACCCCCTCCTAGAGGAAGAAGTGGAGGAAGGGGAACCATGACATCATGTGATACCCCTGCAAAAATATACCTAGGAAGAATTTTTTTTATTAAAAGGGTGCTCCAAGGGGAGTGGAGGGTCTCAAGCGGGGAAAGAGCTGAAGTAACATTTTATTCTCAACTGCTTATTGGCTCATAAAAAAATTTTTTCTAAAACTAAAACAAAGAACAAAGTCTATTGGAAGTAGAAATGATGTCTATGGGGAGATTGGTCCTTCTTTTCTTCTCTCTCTGTAGGTATAACTGTGAACAAAAGTCGCATTGAAGATAATTAGGGAGTCTTAAAAATATTCTGGCGCCATCTAATGGTCAAAATGCAGTATTTTCCAGACTGCAATATTTTGGGAAAATACTGCATTATGGCCACTGGATGGCGGTGACGTTCATAGGAAATACACAACTAAAAGGCATTATGGAGAGTCATCGCGACGGCTGTGCACATGATGAGGCGATTTATTAAAAATATAAATAGAATCCTAAATGTCTTGTCTCTTCTATTGGTCTCTACAGGGCAGGCTTACGTGCTCGCTGGTCTTCCCAGTCCTGGTGGTGACCATTGGCTCCCTGCAGTTCGGGTACAACACCGGAGTGATCAATGCCCCCGAAAAGGTGATGATTTCTGTATATTCCTTCTTTAAAAGCTACTATATTGCAGTAAGGAGTGTGAGGGACCTGAGGAGTCTATGTGTGTGTCTGATGGCAGCAACATCCCGGGTATAGGCAGTACATAGACAAGAAATATGGATGTAAGGGGACATTGGGATGGGGACATCTGACGTATGGGGGGACTCTGATGGGGATACCTGATGTAAGGAGGTACACTGATGGGGATACCTGATGTAAAGGGGGACTCTGCTGGGGACATCTGATGTAAAGGGGCACTCTGATGGGGACGTCTGATGTAAAGGGGCACTCTGATGGGGACACCTGATGTAACGAGGGACTGTGCTGGGGACATCTGATGTAAGGAGGGACTCTGGGGGAGCACATGATATATGGGGGCACTCTGATGAGAACACCTGATGTAAAGGGGGCACTCTGATGGGGACACCTGATGTAAGGAGGGACTCTGGGGTGGGGGCAGGTGATATAAGGGGGCACTCTGAGGAGAACACCTGATGTAATGGGGCACTCTGATGGGGATACCTGATGTAAAGGGGGACTCTGGGGGGGGCACCTGATATAAGGGGGTACTCTGATATGAACACCTGATGTAAGGGGGCACTCTGATGGGGACACCTAATGTAAGGGGGCACTCTGATGGGGACACCTGATGTAAGGGGGCACTCTGATGGGGACACCTGATGTAAGGAGGGACTCTGGGGTGGAGGCAGGTGATAAGGGGGCACTCTGATGGGGAACCTGATGTAAGGAGGGACTCTGGGGTGGGGGCAGGTGATATAAGGGGGCACTCTGAGGAGAACACTTGATGTAAGGAGGGACTCTGATGGGGACATCTGATGTAAGGAGGGACTCTGGGGAGCACATGATATAAGGGGGCAATTCCCCCCTCCCCCCAAAAATATTGCCCCTTGTAGAACAAATTCCTACCCCCCGCCCTACCATTTTACCCTCTCTAGCACAACCCCCCCCTCAAATCCCCCCTCTTAGCTCAAATTATCTTCCCCCATCCCCCCTCCCAGCACAAATTTCCCTAAATCAAATCACCACTCCTCAAATTTCCCCCTCCTAGAACAATTCCTTCCCCCTGCCACTCCCAAATTCCCCCTTCCAACATAAATCCCCCCCCCCAATTTCCCCCTCCTAGAACAAATTATTTGCCCCTCAAATTTCCCTTCTGAGTACAAACCCTCCTCCCCCAGCTCCAAATCCCCCCTCCTAGCAAAAATTTCCCTTCCCCCAATCCTTCATCCTAGCACAAATCCCTGCTAATCATCCCTACTGGCACCCCCCCCCCCCCAAGAAAGTCCCCACCCCCCCATTCTACCATATTACTTTCTCTAGCACAAACCCCCCAAATCCCCCACGTAGCACAAATACTCTTCCTCCATCCCCCCTCCCAGCACAAATTCCCCTAAATCGTTTCAAATTTCCCCTCCTAGAACAATTCCTCCCCCCTGCCACCCCCCAAATTCCCCCTTCCAACATAAATCCACCCCCCCAAAAAAACAAAATCCCCCTCCTAGCACAAATCCTCTACCCCTCAAATTTCCCTTCTGAGTACAAACCCTCCTCCCCCCTCTCCAAATCCCCCCTCCTAGAAAAAATGTCCCCCTCTCCCAATCCCCCATCCTAGCATAAGTCCCTGCCATTCATCTCTACTAGCACAATCCCCCCCAAAAAAAGTCCCCTTTTGAAAAATTCCCCACCCCCACCCTAACATATTACTTTCTCCAGCGCAAACCCCCCAAATCACCCCGCCTAGCGCAAATGCTCTTCCGCCATCCCCCCTCTCAGCACAAATTCCCCCAAATCACCACTCCCCAAATTTAACCCCCTGCCACCCCCCAAATTCCCCCTCTAGCATAAATCCCTCCCCCATCTCCTCATGATTCCCCCCCCTTCCTCACATGGCAGCTGCCCCTCCTGCCCACTCCTTGTCCCGGACCTACTTGGGGATATGGGATTGTACCCCTTATAGGGGCAGTTAGCATCCAATGAGCCTATATAGCTTCTTTATACCATCCTTTATAGAAGGGTGCAAGGAACGATCCTAAACTACTATAGGGGGGTGGAGGGGAGCCCCCAAGAGATATGAGCTGGCAAAAATAAACCCCATCGCTCGTGGGGTCGGAATTGAATCCCCCCAGACTTGTCCTGGAATGAAGGCACATTTGGCGTCTATGACTTGCTGCGCGTTGGAAGAAATAAGAAAACCTCCGTACTATAGATCCACACTGACTGATGGGCCCCTATCTACGTGCTGAGCCATACATACCACAGGTGGACGTGCTGCAGCATGTTCCCGAACATTTCCCTTCTGTATCCCATCCGAGACTCTGACATTCCCTGAGTTACAGCAACATTCCTGTTTGCTAAAAGGGAAACAAAGCTTCATCATTTCTGACGTTTTTAGTAAAAAAGAAAAAAAATGGCGTAGAACGCTGGAATTTGGTCTACAAATGTAAAGTTGTTAATTCCCCAGGGCCCAACCGACAGCCCAAAGGAGACATGTGGCCCTTTGGTAGTTGTTGGGTGGCCCTCGGTCCCTAGGAGTCTATAGTGGGAACATTGATTTGTAAAAGGGATTTTATACCAGTGATCTCTACTAGCCTCATGTAGTGTGTGTCCCCAGTCTCTGACTCAGGTCTCCATTCTCCAACCAAACCTGTAGCATTCCCCCAGTCTCCTGCCAAATCTGTAGCATGTCCCCAGTCTCCAACCAAACCTGTAGCATGTCCCCATGTCCCCAGTCTCCAACCAAACTTGTAGCATGCCCCCAGTCTCCAACCAAATCTGTAGCATGTTCCCAGTCTCCAACCAAACCTGTAGCATGTCCCCAGTCTCCTGCCAAATCTGTAGCATACCCCCAGTCTCCAACCAAACCTGTAGCATGTCCCCAGTCTCCTGCCAAACCTGTAGCATGTTCCCAGTCCCCTGCCAAAATCTGTAGCATGCCCCCAGTCTCCTGCCAAATCTGTAGCATGCCCCCAGTCTCCTATCAAACCTGTAGCATGACACAAATCTCCAACCAAACCTGCAGCATGCCCACAGTCTCCTATCAAACCTGTAGCATGTCCCCAGTCTCCAACCAAACCTTTTGCATGCCCCAAATCTCCAGCTAAACCTGTAGCATGTCCCCAGTCTCCAACCAAACCTGTAGAATTCCCCAGTCTCCAACCAAACCTGTAGCATGTCCCCAGTCTCCAACCAAACCTGTAGCATGCCCCAGTCTCCAACCAAACCTGTAGCATGTCCCCAGTCTCCAACCAAACCTGTAGCATGTCCCCAGTCTCCAACCAAACCTGTAGCATATTCCCCAGTCTCCAACCAAACCTGTAGCATGTTCCCAGTCTCCAACCAAACCTGTAGCATGTCCCCAGTCTCCAACCAAACCTGTAGCATGTCCCCAGTCTCCAACCAAACCTGTAGCATATCCCCAGTCTCGAATCAAACCTGTAGCATGTCCCCAGTCTCCTACCAATACCAATGTAGCATGCCCCAGTCTCCAACCAAACCTGTAGCATGTCCCCAGTCTCCAACCAAACTTGTAGCATGCCCCCAGTCTCCAACCAAATCTGTAGCATGTTCCCAGTCTCCTGCCAAACCTGTAGCATGCCCCCAGTCTCCTGCCAAACCTGTAGCATGTTCCCAGTCTCCAACCAAACCTGTAGCATGTCCCCAGTCTCCTGCCAAATCTGTAGCATACCCCCAGTCTCCAACCAACCTGTAGCATGTCCCCAGTCTCCTGCCAAACCTGTAGCATGTTCCCAGTCCCCTGCCAAATCTGTAGCATGCCCCCAGTCTCCTGCCAAATCTGTAGCATGCCCCCAGTCTCCTATCAAACCTGTAGCATGACACAAATCTCCAACCAAACCTGCAGCATGCCCACAGTCTCCTATCAAACCTGTAGCATGTCCCCAGTCTCCAACCAAACCTGTAGCATATCCCCAGTCTCGAATCAAACCTGTGCATGTCCCCAGTCTCCTACCAATCCTGTAGCATGCCCCAGTCTCCAACCAAACCTGTAACCTTTAGCATGTCCCCAGTCTCCAACCAAACCTGTAGCATGCCCCAGTCTCCAATCAAACCTGTAGCATGTCCCCAGTCTCCAACCAAACTTGTAGCATGCCCATAGTCTCCAACCAAACCTGTAGCATACCCTTGGTCTCCAACCAAACCTGTTGCATGCCCCCAGTCTCCAACCAAACCTGTAGCATGCCCCCAGTCTACAAACAAATCTGCAGCATTTCCCCAGTCTCTTATCAAACCTTTAGCATTTCCCCAGTCTCCTACCAAACCTGCAGTACGCCCCCAGTCTCCTACAATTCACTATGACCATGACTAACATTGCATATGCTGAGCATTATGTGTATATCTGAGTATTTTGTTGCAGATTGTTTCTGGGAGAATCTAATGCTGCAGGGGGGGGTCTGTTGATGTTGGAAAGTATTTTTTGTTGCAGGGGGCCTATTGCTGCTGGGAGAATCTTAGGTTGCTGGGGGGTCTGTTGTTGCTTGGGAGATCTATTGTTTCTGGGGAGAGCTATTGTTGCTGGGGGGTCTATAGTTACTGGCTGCAGAGGAACTATTATATTGTTTTTCTTGTTATTAACCAATTCCACACAAATCACAAATGAGAAATTTTAGGGGGGTTCTAGGTGATTTCTTAGCAATATAAAGCATTAAGACATAGCTGGATGGGGGAGATTTCTTTGCATATAATAAAATTGAATTAAATTGCGTTTTTGGTTCGTGTTGCTCAGATACACTGTAGTTCCACTTTAAAACTCAGACTTGATATCTGAACAAAGCACATCCCTCTATAGTGTGTACTTGTCACAATCCAGAGCACTAAGTGCCATTTCTGTCTGCTGCCTCCGTCCTCTGCTATAAGCATGAGTCTCTTCTGATAAGTTTTCCTGACACCAAGATAAAAATGGTGACAGGGAGGGACCTCCAGCAGATTGACAGCCTTATCTCTGTTCCTGTGTGCTGTGTGAAGGGGGGGGTCCCTTCCCTCCAATCAGCTCTCAGAGCTCTACTCACTGATGTAACTTCAGCTCCCCGCCCCCTGCTTTTACGGGTCTGAGAGATCCTGTGTAAATGTTGCGCTTTGGGTGGATGTAGGGGAAAGACGGTTACAGATAAACAGGTGCAACTTATGTAGATGTTTCATCTGTGTGTATCACCTGAGGCCAGTCACTACACTGGGCATATGGAAGGGTTTACAAGAACTTTTTAAGTCCTGTAACATAATCATTCTGCTATACAGACCACCCAACGCATTTTAATCAGTCAGGAATTTAATTATCGGGACCCTATGATTAAACTCCTGGACAAGTGAAATGCGTTGGAGAGGCTGTATGGAGGATGTTGGAGAACTTGCCAAACTTTTCGGAGGCTGGATTAGGAGGATGTTGGAGGACTTGCCAAAATTTTCGGAGGCTGGATTAGGAGGATGTTGGAGGACTTGCCAAACTTTACGGAGGCTGGATTAGGAGGATGTTGGAGGACTTGCCAAACTTTCCTGAGGTTTTATATAGTTCCCCATCCTTTTTGGGACTCATGAACTGTGATAGCAGCCAGGAACGGGAACCATTTCCCGGTGCCGGTGGTAGCTTGGGGATCCGATGCTTGAATGGAATATTTAATTCTCTTTACAAACAGGTTTCATCTTCCCTTCACAAAGAAAGTGACAGAAGGAGCCTAGATGTCATGGACAACAGCTTCACTGTTTCAGATTTCTTTGCTCCAGTCTATAAACCATTTACTGATAATGATTGTCTCCATCTCATACGAAGCGAAGAACTGGTGTTGGCTGCCAAAGACAAACATAAGCATCCACGTCTATTAGAAATCTAACATTGTACGGGGTTGGCAACTTGAGAACCTCAGTAGTTTCTTTTTCCTCAACAGTTATACAACCCTCCAGGTCAGCCATTTTCAACCAGGGTTGCGTAGAACTTTAGGGTTCCTCCAGAGGTTGCTAGGAGTCCCTTGGGCTGTGGCTGATTGACCTCTCATTTGGTGGTCCCCTCAAAGTGCTGGGGCCAATGCCAGCATCAGGACACCACTGATCTTTTTAGCTGTCTGGAAGGTCACTGTAAGGAGGTAATTTCTGCCACTGACCACCAAAGGTCTTAGCTGGGGTTCCCCGAGACCCAAAATGTATTTCAAGATTACCTACGGGGTAAAAACATTGAGAAAGGCTTCTCCAAGTATTGCTTTGTTTTACTAAACTGTGCAACTGCCATTTACTTTTTTCAGATCATCAGGTCGTTCTATAATGACACGTACATCCATCGTTACAACAAGTCAATTTCTGAAAGCCTCCTGACATCACTCTGGTCCCTCTCTGTGGCCATATTCTCCGTAGGTGGGATGGTGGGCTCCCTCTCCGTAGGGTACTTCGCCAACCGTTTTGGCAGGTAAGGATATAGCATTCTCTTTCTAGGTTATAATTTGCAGACAATCTACCGTGTTTTTTAGGCCTCACATGAGGCCATATACCATAAATTGTGGGCATATTTCTGCACCTCGGATACACAGCTGCCATGTATACCCAACCATAGGAATGAATGGCTTAATGCCGCTATGTGTCTACTTACAGTACATAAACCCATGTATGTGTGAAGCTATACTCCCCTGGATGCAGACTATCTGCAACCAGGGTTGTAGGCAGGGGTGTATTTACCACAAGGTAAACAAGGCATTTGCCTAGGGTGGCATTATTTAGGGGGCAGCACTTCCCCCTGGAAGAAGGGACATATACAGTATGGGGACCAGGTAGGATCTGAGAGAGGCATTGGGCTGCTTGATGGTGCATGCAGAGCCCAACTGTTGTTCCTGGGGATGTTCAAAGCTGTGAACATCTCTCTGTCGCCGTTGGTGGGGGGGGGGGGGTGTTAATGGAAGGCTCTCTCGGGTGGGGTGGAGGGGGAGGATGGGGCAGGGGGTGTTGTTGGTCACTGTCAGGCTCTCTCCAAGGGGCAGGGTGGTGTATGGTGTTGGTTGGTGTGAGACTCCCTCTCTGCCGGGGGGGGGTGTTCCGATTTTTGTGTTGCCTACGGCAGCACAAAACCTCAATACACCACTGGTTGTAGGCCAGTACCCATGCATGGATTAGGCAAGTAACACCATAAACCCGCATACAGCCACAACCAGCCATTGCTATGGTTCCTTGCGTGTGGTTAGCTGTGTATCCTGGACATGGAAATACGCCCACAAATTACATTATACAGCCTCATGTGCTTGAGTGTCTGAGGACATGAAGTTCTTCGGATACATATGTGGCTGTGATCAGTGATTATTAAGGTGTGTTCATGAATTAGAAATCTTGATAGTAGTTAGGAAATGTATAATACATACTGTATTTACTCATGGGTTGGGTTTACCATTAGACACAGTAGGCTTGTGCCTATAGTCAACGAAAGGAAAGAACTGGCTTTTACTTGGAAATTTATTAGCCGCAATATTTGTTTAGAAATGGTAGAAGTACCATCATCTTCTACTATCGTAATATTCTACGTCAGCAGAGGACCTCAATAGAAAATGCTCCAGGTAAAAGAGGAGATCCTTCCAGAGGGTTGAGGGTTTGGGCAGGGCTGTCATAATCCATGAGCACCTCTGGGCACTGCCCAGGGGCTCCAGGTGCATGGGGGGCCCCGATAATCTTTTACATCATACTTGCCAGCTGTCCCGGATTTGCTGGGACAGTCACGCCTATTACTAAGCTGTCCCGGCATGGCCCGGGTAGCATCCCAGAATCTGTACTGTGCCCTCCTGATCCCAGTATTGTGTCCTCCTGACCCCCCCTGTACTGTGCCCTCCTAATCCCAGTATTGTGCCCTCCTGACCCCCCCTGTACTGTGCCCTCCTAATCCCAGTATTGTGCCCTCCTGACTCCCCTTGTACTGTGCCCTAATCCCAGTATTGTGCCCTCCTGACTCCCCCTGTACTGTGCCCTCCTGATCCCAGTATTGTGCCCTCCTGACCCCCCCTGTACTGTGCCCTCCTGATCCCAGTATTGTGCCCTCCTGATCCTAGTATTGTGCCCTCCTGACTTCCAGTATTGTGCCCTCCTGACTCCCCCTGTACTGTGCCCCCCTGATCCCAGTATTGTGCCCTCCTGACTCCCCCTGTACTGTGCCCCCCTGATCCAGTATTGTGCCCTCCTGACTCCCCCTGTATTGTGCCCTCCTGATCCCAGTATTGTGCCCTCCTGACTCCCCCTGTATTGTGCCCCTCTGATCCCAGTATTGTGCCCTCCTGACTCCCCTTGTACTGTGCCCCCCTGATCCCAGTATTGTGCCCTCCTGGCTCCCCTTGTACCACGCCTTTCTGCCTCACCCCCCTCCCATACTGTAAGCTTTTATGTTGATTAGTCTTTTATTTATGGAATGTTTTCTTATTGTTTAAAATCAATTTTATTGAAAGTAGAGGTCCCCAGTGCATCACTTTGCCCAGATGCTCATGATGCTATTAAGACGGCCCTGGGTTTGGGTACCAAAAATGTTGTGCCTAGAGGTTGCAGGTATGGAGATCCGGCCCTGAGGATGCTGCCCGTGCTTCCTACTTAATAGTTGCTAATTTGTCATAGCTATGTTAAATGCCAAGGGGGGAAATCAGGGGAGCACAGCATAGGTTTTGTGGAGTCCCAGGGTTCCTCTAGAGAAGGGGTCTCTAAGCTTTGTATACAAAGGACGAGTTTACTGCCCTTCAGGCTTTAGGGGGGTTGAACTGTAACCAGTGGGATTAGAAAATGGTGTCAGTGGGGGGAGAATAGTGGCCCTTCGTTGGTGTCAGAGAAAGAATAGTGCCTCATTGTTGGGGTTAGTGAGAGAATTAGTGCCTCATTGTTGGGATTAGTGGGAAATTAGTGCCTCATTGTTGGTGTCATTAGGAGGAATAGTGCCCCATCATTCATGTCAGTGGGAGATATTGTCCTCATCTTTGGAAACAGTGCAAGGAATAGTGCTCCATCTTTGGTGTCAGTGGAAGGGACGGTGCTCCATCATTGGTTTCAATGGGAGGAATAGTGCCCAAGTTTTTATGTCAGTTGGAGGAATAGTGTTCCATTATATATATTGGCGGGATAAATTATGAACCGTTGTTGGAGGCACTGGAAAGGATAGTGCCCCAAGGACTTTGATAAAGGCAAGTGAAGGGCCACATCCGCATCAGTTTGAAGACCACTGCTCTGGAGGTTGCTAGGGGTTCCTTGAGCAATGAGCAATGCTGGATCTTGATTTCCCACCTACACTGACCGTCAATGTTAGGGGCCAATTATCCACTGGCATCCAATGTAAGAGTTTGCTTCTACCAGCCGACCAGCAATGAAAGAGGGAACTTTTCAATTGACCACTAACGTTAGAGGGTTCTTCTCAAAAGTCTCTAGTATTAGGGGACTCTACATTTTTTCTGTAAATTATAATTATTCAATTGGTTTGATATTTATATATAACCAGGGTTCTCATTTGCCCTTTTCCAGGAGGAATGCCATGCTACTGGTCAATGTTTTTGCTCTGGTGGGAGGAGCCTTAATGGCACTTTCTAAGGTTGCTTGGTCCATCGAGATGCTGATTATTGGAAGATTCATTATTGGAGTTTTCTCTGGGTTCTGCACTGGTCTAGTGCCGATGTACATCGGAGAACTGGCGCCCACTGCTTACCGAGGAGCTTTGGGGACACTCAACCAGCTTGGCATCGTGGTTGGAATATTGATAGCACAAGTGAGTACTTGAAATGTGTTGCGTCAGACAAAGTATACTTTATTGGATAAAGAAAGGGAGTGTAATGGTACATCTAGCAGTAGTTGGTCACATTCAACTGGGCTTGTTCTGTAATGTTGAAAACAACTCCAAGCTGGTCTTCAGTTCTAATGAACGTCAGGAACATACCCCAACATTTATACCCATGGAGGTAGCACCAATACTTTAATCTGGTCACCATGGGTTATTCTCCAAGATCAGAATAGGAGATGTGGAAGCACCCTGTTCTAGTTCCGTATCCCCACGCTTGGTGAAACATACAGCAGTTTTCACAAATAGTATCCGTGTGTTAGGTTTTTGTATTTTTACCTTTTTTAATACTGTGTACAAATAAAAAAGTGAATTGAATTTCATGGTGGGGTACCTTGAAACTCTTATTAGTTTTTTCATTAGGGATTTATTATCATTCAGCAAAATGACGAAAAGCGGGTGAGGAGGGTGAAGCTCCACTTTAATGATGGTGGCACAAACGTATCCCATGTAGCGCCAAAAAAGCAAACCACTTATTGTTGCCACATCACACGTCTCCTTACCACTGAATCAATTCATGGTTTTTCTTTTTGGTGCTACAGTTCAGTGCAGTGCTCATCTATGTATTCTGTTGCCTCAGTCTACATCGGTCTTTCTCAACTTTTTACCCCAGAAGAACCCTTGAAATAATTTTCGGGTTTCTGGGAACCCCTGCTAGGATTAGTCCATGGAGGGCTCATAAGAAAAATGCTCCTTGTGGTCAATGGAAAATAAGATCCTCTACAGTGCTGGTTAGAATGCCACACTTAGAGTCAGCTAAAATATCATCGGTGCCATTGGCTCTGCCAAGTGGTAATGGACCTGGAGCTATGAAGGCACCATCAGATGGAAGGTCAATCAGCCACAGCGCAAAGAACCCCTAGCAACTCAAGGGTTCCACAAAACCCTAGTTGAGAATGCCTGGTCTACATAATTAAAAACACCAGCCTTAATAAAGGCTTTCCATTGAAGGCTTTCCATTGGTGTGTATGTTGGATGGGTCTCAGAACGCATACATTTTCAGGATATTGGCTGTACGGTGCTGGATAGGTTGCACAATCGTGATCTCGGAGGAGTGGGGTTTGAAGTAAGAATATCCCCTAATGGTGGTGGTAGAGCTGGGGAGCAGAATATCCTTGTTATTCCGTTTAACTGACTCTCATTCCTTGCTACTGTTTCCAGATTTTTGGTCTCAACATTATCTTGGGTTCAGTGACCTTCTGGCCCCTGTTGTTGGGTATCACAGTCCTCCTGGCGATCATCCAGTGTGTCCTTTTGCCATTCTGCCCTGAAAGCCCCCGCTTCCTGCTGATCATCAAGCATGAACAGGACAGAGCTGAAAAAAGTGAGTATTGTTCAATTATTAATATTACAGGAGGTACTGAGGAGTCCACTGTCCTGGGGCCCATATGAGGTCAGGGCACCAAATCATGACTGCTCCTCACCTTTATCCACCAGCAGAATATATCCCAGAGTACATCTCCACTCTAGACTTTCTTCATTCCTTTATCTACCGATTGGCAACTCCCTGGCTTCATGGAGAAATTTCACCTACATTGATAAAAAGTGTTCATACAGTGCAATATTTCAGATATTTAAAAATTATATCTAAGCATTTTTTTTTTTTTTTGGATAGAGTGTTGAAGAGTTAGAACTTCTGTTTTTTTTTTCACTTTCCCAGGATCCCCATTGGGGAGATTCACCCTGGTCTTGGTGGCCATTGTCAACAGAAAGCGTTGGGAGATCCAAAATGTTACATGTGTTAACCATGAAGGAATAAAGGGGAAAACATCCAATGGGGACACCTGTTCCAGTGACAAATTCCTCTCACTTTGGAAAAGTGTCTTCCCACTTCCTTTGTCGGGTCAACAACCTGGCTCTGCTGTTTGGCGTATACATATATATATATATATACACAGTATATATATATATATATATCATATATATATACTGTATATATACACTCACCGGCCACTTTATTAGATACACCTTGCTAGTGCCAAGAAAAATCTCCCTCCACACCATGACACCACCACCACTAGCCTGAACCATTGATACAAGGCGGGATGGATCCACCACACCATGACACCACCACCACCAGCCTGAACCGTTGATACAAGGCAGGATGGATCCACCACACCATGACACCACCACCACCAGCCTGAACCGTTGATACAAGGCAGGATGGATCCACCACACCATGACACCACCACCACTAGCCTGAACCATTGATACAAGGCGGGATGGATCCACCACACCATGACACCACCACCACCAGCCTGAACCGTTGATACAAGGCAGGATGGATCCACCACACCATGACACCACCACCACCAGCCTGAACCGTTGATACAAGGCAGGATGGATCCACCACACCATGACACCACCACCACTAGCCTGAACCATTGATACAAGGTTGATGGATCCATGCTTTCATGTTGTTTACGCCAAATTCTGACCCCACCATCTGAATGTTGCAGCAACCATTCTCCTCTGACATCAACAAGGCATTTTCCTCCACACAACTGCCACTCACTGGATATTTTCTCTTTTTTGGACCATTCTCTGTAAACCCTAGAGATGGTTGTGTGTGAAAATTCCAGTAGATCAGCAGTTTTTGAAATACTCAGACCAGCCTGTCTGGCACCAACAACCATGTCACGTTCAAAGTCACTTAAATCTCCTTTTATTCCCCATTCTGATGCTCGGTTTGAACTTCAGCAAGTCATCTTCACCACGTTTAGATGCCTAAATGCGTTTAGCTGCTGCCATATGATTGGCTGATTAGCAATTTGTGTTACCAGAGGGGTACCTAATAAAGTGGCCGTTGAGCGTATATACTGTATATTTCAACTGTCTATTTAACTATTTGCCAGGCCTGAGCTTTAAAGAAGTCTCCCTTCCATTTTTATTATTGTGTCCTGCTCCATGTTGTACTTTGACCCGTCTTCCTATGGGACGACTAAGGCTAGCTACAAACTGGAAACGGGTACCCCTCTTCCCTCCTGTCCAACCACGCAGCTAGCAAGGAGATGGCAGCTTTTAATAATAGCCCTTTCCTCCATCTCCAAGCACTTGCAGTTCAGCTCGCAGGTCTGCCTCTCCATGAGCTCCTCATGAGATGCTTCTCTTAGGCAAGAACTTGGGAGATGGAAAAAAGTGCTGTTTGTCAAAGCAGCCAACTCCTTGCTACCCACATGGAAGAAAAACATATTTGAAATATATTTTAAAAATATTATTCCCAAAATATATTGACATATATTTGAAATACTACAATTTTAGCCGTTTTCAATATATTTCCATAAATAAATAAATATATATTGGTTGTCCAGTGGTGGGGTCCTCTCAGGATAGAAAGGGGAGCCTGCAACGGTGATATCAGGACTGAGAGGGACTGGCCGTGCATTACAGCGTCAACACATCCTAAATGAAGAATTATGATACTGCCTTAAATACACCGAAAAAAAAAAAAAAAACTTCAACAAATGAAAAAAAAAATTTTTTTTTTCTCCAAGAAAATTTCACCCAAGCATTTTATTGAGTGGAATTTACAAAATAACTTCCCACATGGAAGAAAAATATATTTGAAATATACTGTACGTCTTTAAAAAACACAGATCTACATTTTTGGAATGCATTTACAAATATATGGAAAAATATATGTTAAAAATGACTTTTTTATATGTTAAAAAAAATCTGAAGAATATATTTAAAAAATATATATTTTTAATAAATATTTTTCATATAGTTTGTAATATATAAAAAACGCATTTCAACATGCAGTGTGTATATATATATATATATATATATATATATATGTGTGTGTGTATGTATTGAGATATATTGAATACGGCCAAAATTGTAGTATTTCAAATATATCAATTTATTTGGGAATAATATTTTTGAATATATTTCAAATATATTTTTCTTCCATGTGGGGAGCTACGTTGTTGGACAAGAAGGAAGAGGGGTGGGAGGGAAGGACTTATTAAAAATATCAGTGAGACTTCTTTCGTTTCCCTCTTGTGAATTACGTAACGGACCACAAACAGTCTACGGAAAAAGTGGTTGCCCCCGGAGGGTTAAAGCCCTAGGCCTATTAGCCAGATTAGCCCATCGCAAACCGCCACTGCCTTGTGTTATTTGTGAGCCCAGTTGACTCTCCGGCTTTTTTTACACAATATTTGGTTTTAGTCTTACAGAACCTTCGACAATCCCACGATGTGTCCGGTGAAATGGCAGAAATGAAGGAGGAAGGAGAACGCATGGCGCAGGAGAAACCCGTGTCCTTCATTGAATTATTCCGCTCCAGGCAGTATCGCCAGCCCATCTTTATCGCCATCATTCTTCAGCTGTCGCAGCAACTGTCCGGGATCAATGCAGTGCGTAACCTCCCTGTCTATCTTCTGAGCCTTTTCTCCGTTTCCTCCAGCTACCTCTTACTATGCAGGCTGGTCAAGCTAAAACGGGAGATGGGGCAGATCAGAGCGGGGTAACTGTTTAGGGCTGCAGTAAGGGGAAGACTGGTAATATTTGACCTGCGGGCAGATACAATCAACTGGACCTTCCATAGTGGGGAGTTTTATGGGGGCCTTTGAGCTGTCCATCTATCATTGGGCCACTGCTGATTGGGCAGGATGCTGTAGACTCCCGGGGGGGGGGAGACTGCATGTGTTGTGTCCGCACATTGTGAAGTGTGCACACTGACAGGCAAAAGCCAGGAAAACTATTTGCAGGCAGCATGGGTCAGCTGCTTTGGGCCCCCCAACAATGACTGAGACCTGGGCAGCTGCCCCGTGTTAAAGACGGCTCTGGTACTGGACAGGGGGACCAACGTTCCTCAGTTCTTCCTTTCTGGACAGGTACTGGTGAACCAATGGCCCTCAGCTCTTCCTTTCTGGACAGGAACTGGTGGACCAACGTTCCAAAGCTCTTCCTTTCTGGACAGGTACTGGTGTACCAACAGTCCTCAGCTCTTCCTTTCTGGACAGGTACTGGTGAACCAATGGTCCTCGGCTCTTTCTTTCTGGACAGGAACAGGTGGACCAACGTTCCTCAGCTCTTCCTTTCTGGACAGGTACTGGTGGAAAAATGTTCTTCAGATGTTCCTTTCTGGACAGGTACTGGTGGACAAATGTTCCTCAGCTCTTCCTTTCTGGACAGGTAATGGTGTACAAACGTTCCTCAGCTCGTCCTTTCTGGACAGGTACTGGTGGACCAACGGTCCTCAGCTCTTCCTTTCTGGACAGGTACTGGTGGACCAACGGTCCTCAGCTCTTCCTGTCTGGACAGGTACTGGTGGACCAACGGTCCTCAGCTCTTCCTTTCTGGACAGGTACTGGTGGACCAACGGTCCTCAGCTCTTCCTTTCTGGACAGGAACTGGTGGACCAATGTTCCTCAGCTCTTCCTTTCTCTCCTACTACTGAAGATTGCACTTTCCTAAATAAACAGAATAAAAACGATACCTTCTACTGGAGTGCGGAGGAAACTCAGGGGAGGCTCACATGCACTAAAACAAAAATAGACCTTGATTATGTTCCATAGAACTGCGCTAGTTGCAGCGTTTGATAGGTTGCTATTCTACTGCTCACCTTTATATTTCTCCTCTTGCCCTTTCCTATTGAACTGAATGTGTCATCTTCTCCTTGCAGGTCTTCTATTACTCTACCAGCATTTTCGAGCGTGCCAAAGTCCCCAATCCAATCGCCGCTACCATCGCGCTGGTATTGTGAATGTGGTGTTTACAGTTGTATCGGTGAGTATGTAACACACGACATGGGCTGTCTGCTATGGTAAAATGTTTTTTTCCTCGGTAGCACTACAGCTCAAGGACAGTTCTGGCCTCTTCCATAGTTCTAGCCTATTATACTCTCTCCGTTGACATTAAAGCCATTTTTTCTAGTCTTGGATGAAGAAGGTCAATGGGTTAGTCTTGTATGGATGAAGGGGATCGCTGCTCTCCCATCCAGCCTGTGCAAATAAAGAATTAGGCTCAGCCTACATGTCTCTGCTAAACCACGCCCACTGATGCATTTTGCCCCACCCACCAGGGGCTTACTCATGGTTTCCTCTTCATACATACAAGGCTTACTCTCTGGATTAGTATATGGATGCCAGCACCCTGCTTTCTTGAGGATTTGAGGGAGATGCTCCTCTCCTGCTTACGAGCGGCGCCATAAGTATTACCATTTGGTCGCAAGGTTAAAGGGTTCCTTCACTTTTTCACAAAAAATTAAGAGGTGAACTAACTCACCACACCCCGGATCCTGCTGCACTTGGCTTCTTTGATGATTATCTCCTGCCACATATCAACCAGGGTGGCAGTCGGCGCTACTAAAAAATACAATTCACAACCCATAGGCTACTTAGCATCATAATGCTAGCAATGGTGAATGGGCATTGGTCAGCACCGACTCATGACCACGCTGACCAATAAGAAACTTTCTGAGCTTTTTTCGTTCCAGGGCAGCGTCCGAGAAAAAAAAAGGGTACAGAAGAGTGAGGCTTTCAAATGCCCAGACTGCACCTGGGTCCCGTGGTACAGATTTCCCTTTTCCTTTCTATTGTTGGGGCCCAAGAGGAAGGGAAGGGAAATTTCCCTAAAGTGAGAAACGTTTTTACCAGGACAGTTGTCTTAGATAGATGATTTCCACTTCCTGCCATGGTGACAACTTTAACATTTTGAGCGTCCTCTTACTTACTGTCCAGGTGACAAGGGTCATCAGGAAAATTAGGGTGAATCTCCTTATTAGGGACATAGAAAGCAATAAACAGCTAGTGTGTAAATGAAGCAGCACTGTAAGTCATAGAGTCCCAAAAAACCCAAGAAAAAGTCAAAGAGTCCAAAAACAAAAAACTGTTTCTCTATTTTATTGTGAATAGGTGAATTCCCAGGAAATGATTAACCAAATGAATTCTCTTGATTTCTGTCTCTTACAGCTGTTGGTTGTAGACCGGGCTGGACGGCGCACGCTACACCTCACCGGCCTCGGTGGAATGGCCGTATTTGCTATCATATTGACAATTGCTCTTAAGCTTACAGTAAGAACTGGATATTTTATGTTTCTTAGTGGAATTATCTTATTTATTCTGCTTCATCTTTTACTCTTTTCCATTTTCACCTTATCATCACCTGCCAGACTCATCCAACTTACTAACCGTTCCATATCTGCCATCCATCTCTGCCAATCCCTCCACTGGCCTCCACTCAGTGTCCTCCATCCCTCTCTGCCAATCCCTCCACTGGCCTCCACTCAGTGTCCTCCATCCCTCACTGCCAATCCCTCCACTGGCCTCCACTCAGTGTCCTCCATCCCTCTCTGCCAATCACTCCACTGGCTTCCTCTCAGTGTCCTCCATCCCTCTCTGCCAATCACTCCCCTCCACTGACCTCCACTCAGTGTCCTCCATCCCTCTCTGCCAATCCCTCCACTGACCTCCACTCAGTGTCCTCCATCACTCTCTGCCAACCCCTCCACTGACCTCCACTCATTGTTCTCCATCCCTCTCTGCCAATCCCTCCACTGACCTCCACTCAGTGTCCTCCATCCCTCTCTGCCAATCCCTCCACTGACCTCCACTCAGTGTCCTCCATCACTCTCTGCCAATCCCTCCACTGACCTCCACTCATTGTCCTCCATCCCTCTCTGCCAATCCCTCCACTGACCTCCACTCAGTGTCCTCCATCACTCTCTGCCAATCCCTCCACTGACCTCCACTCAGTGTCCTTTATCCCTCTCTGCCAATCCCTCCACTGACCTCCACTCAGTGTCCTCCATCCCTCTCTGCCAATCCCTCCACTGGCCCTCCACTCAGTGTCCTCCATCCCTCTCTGCAAATCCCTCCACTGACCTCCACTCAGTGTCCTCCATCCCTCTCTGAAAGCTGGCTTCTTCTCCTCCCCCTCCTGCTGGCTGCAGAGAGAGCCGTACAGGGGATCGGTTCCAGTAATTGTTCCTCCCCCCCCCCGTCGTGCTGATCCCCGTCCCTGTGCACCAAATGTGTCCCCCTACTGCTCAGGCTCCCCTGTGTGTCCCTTCCCCTGCAGTGCTGCCGGCTTACCCACCACCAACTGCAAGCACTCTATAGGATCCTTCAGGACGGAGGGTGGAGAAAGGGTCTTGTATATATGTCACATTTACCAGGTCCCTCTTTTCCTGAATGAACACAATGAGTAATCGGTACCAATCACTGTGTTCATTCATAACTGAAGCATAGTAAACTGTTTTTTTTGTTTTTGGTGGGGGGGGGGCCCTCAGGTTGGCTGTATGGGGCCCCCGTGGTTTCTAACAGCAGCCCTGAACAAAGCCATGTGATCAAAATGCAGTGGTGACATGGTGACCCTATGATAGACAGGGTAATGGTTAGTGAGCATTAAGGTTAGCAATTCTTCTGATTCTCAATATCTAACGCCATGTTTCTAGGGCTGCACAAAACGTACATACACCACTGGTTACCTCAGGACAGGCTGGGAGGCTCTAACAGGTCAGGGCTTCTGGAGCCCTCCCACCTCTCCAGAAACCTGAGAGCTTTCTGGAGGAGGGGAGGAGGCCCGGATCTGCATGTTTGAGGGACCCTTACCAATCCCCCAACAGGAGGCTGTGTATGGTGACTAGGGCAACCCTCAAATGTTGCAGAAACTGGGGGGAGATGGAATAGATTGAGGAAGGCTGGAATGTGGAGCCTGGGAGGGGACCAGAGGATGGGGCCTACCTACAGACCATTGCAGGAAAAGAAGATCTCTACTGTGACACTCTCTACTGGGTAGGACATCCTGAGCAGCAGTCAAGGCCTGAAGGCAGACACCTACCCACTAAGCTGACAAAAAAGGACAGTGTAAGTTCTCTTACACTCCCTGGTCCGGATAAGGGGAGAGGGCATTAAGGTGCAAGACCCAGTAGCTCCTCATCTGGGACTGCTTGTACTAAATTGGCAGCTTCTTGGGCCCCCTTCCCCAGAGAATACCCTCAGTGCAGCTGTCTGAAGAGTAATAATAATCCAGGGTGGTAGGAGGTACACGCGGAAGAGTCTTTGGAGCTTTTCAAGGAAAGAAACTGTTGCTATCCATATTTTTTGTACATAGTTGCTAAGGAATTTGTCCTGAGGTTCTGCAGATCCTCGGGCATCCTACCCCTAGACCCCATCCAAGTTCTTAACTCCTTAAACAAGTTACAAAACCAAGCTCAAGGACTGTTCTTTGACTCCAGTGTGCAAAGTGTGGGAAATGCATGTTGCCTGGCCATGCGAGCATAGGGGGACCCAAATCAAATCCAGCAGCCCTTCGGAGAGTAGTGGTACATTTCTTCTAGTCTGAACTCTGAATACTTCTGACCACGTTTCCACTTTTTTGTGTCTAACCCTTATCTCGGTTTATGGTTCTCTTTAGGAACAGGCCATCGGATGGAGTTATGTGAGCATTGTGTCCATCTACCTGTTTGTGGCTTTCTTTGAGATCGGCCCAGGACCTATCCCTTGGTTCATCGTGGCTGAGCTTTTCAGCCAAGGACCACGTCCAGCAGCTATGGCCGTATCCGGCTGCTCAAACTGGACAGCCAACTTCCTTGTTGGGATGTTATTCCCCTATGCAGAGGTAAGTGAAACGGGATTATGCATGAATCGGTTTGAGGGGAAGCATGCTAATCATCGTAGTCAGCTATATTTGCTAGGGTCATGCCTCTTTCTTGAGTTGTGGAGGTCCACATCTCAACATCGTGTTATTTACTTTAGATCAGTTATAACAGCTCATTTCATTACACACTATGTTAATCATTGTTTTCTTTTTTTTCTGTTTTTGTTTTATTCTATTATTCTGCACTTTTTCACAAAAAGAGAGGATGTGGTCCATACGTCTTCCTCATCTTTGCGATACTTCTGATATTGTTCTTCATCTTCACGTTCTTCAAAGTTCCCGAAACTCGAGGACGGACATTCGAGGACATTGCCAAGAGTTTCCAAAAGTCTAAGGGCCTGGGTCATGGCAGCCGGCGTAACAGTGTGGAGTTGACTGGAGTGAAAGTGCCTCCAGGACAGATGGGGTAGGGGAGAAGTGATGGACGTGCACAAAAAACTATACTGTACACAACAGAGAGGACCTTACCCTGGGGACAGCTGGAGCATCAGAGATTAGCAGCAAGTTTCAATGAGCACACAAAGCTGGATTCTCAAATGTTATTGTCAGCTTTTCTTTCATTATGAAGCAACTTTCTGATGTATTTGGATAAAAGAACTGTGATTAGGAATGGCTTGGGAAGATGGTGGACCAAAACCCTGAGAACTTTTATAAACAGTTTCACATATTTAAACTTTTTTGAACTTTGGATAACACAAACCGAGCCCTTGAAAGAACCTCTCTTGTACTTGACAGCAGCTGGTTTCCTCACCACTCCTAGACTGTGTGGCATAATAGGTGGGACTTTGATACCAGGCAAAGTTAGGGGTGTAATCAGTCCAGTAACAGGCCTAGCCAAGGCTACGGTTTTCTCAATTTAGATGTTTTCTTAAGTAGCCTACAAAAATGAATCATAGTCATGAGTCAACATATTATAGTTCCAATCAAAAATGCTTTATTAGGTCAGAGAGGTACAAACAAATTAAACCCACTGGAGGGCTACTGGACATTGTGCGCAACAACATGCTACGATAAAAGAATGTGGGTCAAAAGACTGTCCATACTGGTGGCATTGGTGTATTTAGATTTTGTGCTGCCCTAGGCAACACAAAAATTGTCTGCCCGCACGGACACCGACCAACAACTCCTCCACCACCCAACCCCTCCCATGGAAGGAACCCCTGCCACCTACCTGGGAGAGCCTTACACTACCCCTCCCCCGGCAATAGAGAGAAAGACATTCATCTTCATCTCCGGACATCCCCGGGAAGGAGATTCAGGCTCTACATACACCATCAAGCAGACCGCAACCTTAGATCCCACCTGGTTCCCGTGGAGCATGTGCCCCTTATTTCATCCCTTCTTCTGGGGGGAGGTGCTGCCCCCCTGAAAAATGCCGCCCTAGGAAAGTGCCTTGTTTGCCTTGTGGTAAATACGCCCCTGACTGGTGGTATGGTACGTTTGGACAAGTGCTCCATCACTGTTTATGAGAAGTTTGCATGACTTCATGATGCTATGGGTTTATACAGTGAGACATTGATGGCATGACAGATGAAGTAACCCATACCCTCACACCAGGGGTGTCAAACTCAATTTCATTGTGGGCCGCTTCAGCATTATTGTTGCCCTTAAAGAGCTGTTTTATCTGTAAGACTAGATGTCCAGAGCACCCTCCCCCCCCCCCCCCCCTTTACATCAGATGTCAGGAGCCTCCACATCATCTGAAATCAAGAGCTCCCCACCCTCCCTTAGCTCACAGTGCACCCCACCTTGTGGTCGGAGGAAGCTGGGGGGCAAAGCTGGGAAGCAGAAACTGCAGGGTCTGGAGGAAGAGCAGAGGAGGGCTGGATTCTGCTGAATGCTGAGACCAGGGAAAGGGGGGACAAGGGGGGGGGGGGTGTCAGATGCACAGAGGGGTGCAGGAACAGTAGGAGGAGTTCTGTCCTCCTTTCTGCTGCTGACTGCTGGGATGGGGGGGGGGGGTCTCCGTGGATGCACGGAGAAGCGCAGAATCTAGCAGAGAAGTTCTGTCTTCTTTGCTGAGAAAAGGTGGGGGAAGCAAGGAGGAGGGGTGCTGCAGCTGCAGGAAAAGTTCGAGGGCCACATGAAACGTCTTGGTGGGCCGAATTCAGCCTTACGTTTGGCACGTGTCCTACGCCAGGGCTTAAAATTTCAAGTCTAGACTTACCAGCCAGGCAAAAACCTTACTCTCCACCAGTTGCCCCACCAAACCTTGCCCAGGTCCGCCTCCAACCCTTTTAAAATATTTAGGCCCCAGAGAGCAGCACTAAAACGGCGTTGTCGGTTTTATTTAAGGTTGTTTTTTTTTTTTTACTCTTTTTGAAATCATTTTGCCCCCAGAGCGCAGCACAAAAAATGTCATTTACAGTTGCAAGAAAAAGTATGTGAACCCCTTGGGATTACGTGGAGTTTTGCATGAATTGGGCATAAAATGTGCTCTGAACGTCATCTAAGTCACAACAATAGAAGAACACAGTCTGCTGAACATAATACTACACAAACATTAGATGTTGCCATGGTTTAATTGCACATAACATGTAAACATTCACAATGCAGGGAGGAAAAAGTATGTGAACCTTTGGACTTAATAACTGGATGACCCTCCTTTGGCAGCAATAACCTCAACCAAACATTTCCTGTAGTTGCAGATCAGACTTGCACAACGATCTGGAGTCATTTTGGACCACTCCTCTTCACAAAACTGTTTCAGTGTAGCAATATTCTTGGGATGTCTGGTGTGAATCGCTCTCTTAAGGTCATGCCACAGCATTTCAATCGGGTTGAGGTCAGGACTCTGACTGGGCCACTCCAGAAGGTGTATTCTGTACTGTTGCAGCCATTGTTTTGTTGAATTACTTGTATGCTTTGGGTCATTGTCCTGTTGCATCACCCATCCTCTGTGGAGCTTCAGTTGGCGGACAGATGGTCGTACGTTTTCCTGCAAAATGTCTTGATAAACTCTGGAATTCATTTTCCCATCAATGACAACAATCCATCCAGACCCTGAGGCAGCAAAGCAGCCCCAAACCATGATGCTCCCTCCGCCATGTTTCACAGTGGGGATGAGGTTTTGATGTTGGTGTGCTGTGCCTTTTTTTCTCCACACATAGTGTTGTGTGTTCTTCCCAAACAACTCAATCTTGGTTTCATCTGTCCTCAGTATATTTTGCCAGTAGTGCTGTGGAACATCCAGGTGCTCTTTTGCAAACTTCAAACGTGCTGCAATATTCTTTTTGGACAGCAATGGCTTCCTCCGTGGTGTCCTCCCATGTACTCCATTCTTGTTTAATGTTTCCTTATTGTAGATGTGTCAACAAAAATGTTAGCATGTGCCAGAGATTTCTGTAGGTCTTTAGCTGACACTCTGGGATTCTTCTTTACCTCATGCAGCATTCTGCTCTGTGCTATTACAGTCATTTTTACAGGACGACCACGCCTAGGGAGAGTAGCAACAGTGCTAAACTTTCTCCATTTGTAGACAGTCTGTCTTACCGTGGACACATGAACATCAAGGCTTTTGGAGATGCTTTTGTAACCCTTTCCAGCTTCATGCAAGTCAACAATTCTTGATCGTAGGTCTTCTGAGAGCTCTTTTCTGCGAGGCATGGTTCACATCAGACAGTGCTTCTTGAAACCAGTAAACCCAAAACAGATGTGTGTTTTTTAAGGGCAGTGGGGCTGTCAGCAACACATCCAATATCATCACACTGATTGGAGTCAAGGTTGGCTCACTCCTGGCTCCAATTAGCTCTGGGAGAAGTCATTAAGCTAGGGCCTCACAGACTTTTTCCTCCCTGCACTGTGAATGTTTACATGTTATGTTCAATTAAACCATGGCAACATTTAATGTTTGTGTAGTATTATGTTCAGCAGATTGTGTTCTTCTATTGTTGTGACTTAGATGACGTTCAGAGCACATTTTAGGCCCAATTCATGCAAAAATCCACGTAATCCCAAGGGGTTCACATACTTTTTCTTGCAACTGTACCTTAAAATGGTGGGTGTAGGGATGTGCATTGTTGGCAGGTCTCTCCTTCACGTGTCCCCCACGGCAGTGGAGAGCGAGCCTCTCCTCGTGTGCCCCATGGCGGTGGAGAGCGAGCCTCTCCTCGTGTCTCCCTCAGCGGAGGAGAGCGGACCTCTCCTGTACCTGTCCCTCCAGTGTAATGGCGGTGCCAAACAAGTAGCCGGAAGTCGGAAACCGGAAATCGGCTTCAAAACGAGGCTTGGAGCGCAAGTGTCCGCCACCCCCCCTCTGCCAATCCCTTCACTGGCTTCCGATTGCCCAATTCAAAATGCTAACATTGATGTATAAAGCTGTTCATAATACTGCCCCAGACTACATCACCGATATGGTATCCAAATACCAACCAAAACGTACTCTCCGCTCCTCACAGGACCTCCTTCTCTCTAGTTCCCTGGTCTCCTCCTCCCATGCCCGTCTCCAGGGCCTCCCCATCCTCTGGAACTCCCTACCTCAATCCATCAGACTGTCACCTACTCTCCTCACCTTTAGGCGCACCCTGAAAACCCATCTCTTCAGGGAAGCCTACACCACCCCCTGCTAATTGCCGATCTCCTCCACTCTTCCTACCACTCCATCCCCCACAGCTATTTCCTCCTGTAGTTACCACCATCCCCTCCCTCCTAGATTGTAAGCTCCAAGGATCAGGGCCCTCAAACCCATCGTGTATTGAATTGTATTGTTACTGTACTGTCTCCCATTATAATGTAAAGCGCTGAGAAAACTATTGGCGCTTTATAAATCCTGTATAATAATAAAAAAAAAAAGTGGAACGCAAATCGATCCCCGGGGCCTGGGGATCGCATTGCAAGCCACCAGCTCCATCAATAAATGTGCAGGGCATATCTGTGCTCACCAGAAAGGAATTTCCCCTCGCATTTGGCGAGCGGGCGAGCGGAATTTTCAAGCCCCGTCCAACGCCATCCAATCAGAATTTGTCTGTCGCTGATTTGACTGCTACAAACCAAAAAGGAGTTCCTGTCTGCCCATCATTAATGGTTCTTCTGCTGAATACCACAGTTAGTGTTCTATGGAATTGTGGAAAACCCCCTTCAAGATTGTCCTGGCTGCGGTGACATCATCGAACGTGACTGTATCATGCATGAATGTGTGCACTATAGTTTTGTAAGTCAAAAGGTAAAGTGCAATAGCCCGTATCAACCAATCAACAATCGTTTTTCATTATTTGCAGTCCTTACACTCTGAAAGCTGGTTGGTACAGGGAACTGCACACCACATGTGTTTTCATTCTATTTAATAAGTCTATATATTGTATATAATGCCGTAAAGTTGAAGAGAATCAGGTTCTTTACTAATAAAAAGGGATATATTAATATATTTATTACAGGTGTAATGTTAAAATATATTTTTCTACATTTTCAATGC